CAGTGCATGTGTGCTGCACGAACGGTATGGCCTATAGCCCGAAGTTCTTGAACTGGCATCACGCAAGCCATTCCTCGAAGCAGGCATTCACATGTTCGATCTCGATAGCACAATTCGCGAGCGACGCTCGGTCCGTGGTTTCATTACCGACCGCGCAGTTCCCGCTAGTACCATTCGCGAAGCATTGGAATTAGCTCAACGGGCCCCCTCGAATTGCAATGTTCAACCATGGCGGGTCTTCGTCGCTTCAGGCGTGCGATGCAATCGACTTCGTGATGAACTGGTCAAGCAAATTTCCGCGGGGGAACCGCCCGCACCTGAAGATGAACAGGACGTGTTTCCGCCACCCTACCGCCGCTTGCAGGTCGACTGCGCGGTTGCACTGTACAACGAAATGGGTGTTGCACGAGGTGACCACGCGGGCCGTGCCCAAGCCATGCTGCGGAATTTTGAGCTGTTCGATGCCCCTCACGTGGCGATTGTGTGCATGCAGAAGTCATTCGGTGTGGGAGTCGCCCTGGACGTTGGGATGTGGGTGCAGACGTTCATGCTCGCCCTGTGGGCCCGCGGGGTGGCCTCATGTGCCCAGGCCAGCCTGCGGCAATACCCCCAGATTATTCGCCCCCTCCTCGGCATTCCCGACGACTTACGGATTCTGTGCGGTGTTTCGTTCGGGTACGAGGATCCCGAGGTTCCGGCCAACCGCACCCGTCAACTTCGCGAGGCACTGGAAGAAAACGTCGTCTTCTTAGATGATTAGGGGAGAGCGATACTTCGCTCGATTGGCTAACTGCCGCGGGAACGTTCAGTACCGCGCTCCAATATCGCAATTGAAAGTATCAACACATGCGCGTGAAACTCGACTATGGACGCACCGGGCTGGAAGTTGAACTGCCGGACGACCGCGTGGTTCAGGCCCTGGGCTATCATCGCAGCCAACCGTTGGACGATGTCGACGGAGCCATCCGTGAGGTGCTCGAGCGGCCGACCGACTCACCCCCGTTAGCAGAGTTAGCCAAAGGCCGTAAAAATGCCTGCGTGGTGATTAGCGATTTCACCCGACCGGTGCCCAATCAGAAGATTCTCACTCACGTGTTAGGCACGCTTGAGCAAGCGGGCATTCCTCGGGAAAAGATTCTGATTCTGATCGCCACCGGGTTGCATCGCCCCAACGAAGGCGAAGAACTTGTCGAAATGGTGGGGCAAGAGATCGCTGATCGTTATCGCATCGAGAATCATCACGGTCAGGTACTGGACGAACACGCCTATCTCGGTGAGAGTCCCCGTGGTGTGCCCATCTGGATTGACAAACGTTATGTCGAGGCCGATCTGAAGATCACCACTGGGCTGATCGAACCGCACCTCATGGCCGGCTATTCCGGAGGGCGGAAACTAATCTGCCCTGGCCTGGCGGCACTGGAAACCGTTCGCGTGTGGCACGGGCCCGACTTCCTTGAACACCCTAACGCCGATTGCGGCATCCTCGAGGGCAACCCCGTTCACGAAGAGAACACCTGGATCGCCTGGCACACCGGCTGCGACTTCATCGTCAATGCAGTGATCGATGCCGAGCGACGCCCCTTGCACTTTGTGGCTGGGCACATGGAAAAGGCCTTTTTGAAAGGCGTCGATTTCGTACGGAATGTCGTTCGCGATACGGTGGCCGAGCCGGTTGATATCGTCGTGACCTCTTCGGCAGGCTACCCGTTAGATGCGACGTTCTATCAGTCGGTCAAAGGCCTCGTCGGAGCTTTGCCGGTGGTGAAGCAGGGCGGCACGATTATCATGGCCGCCAGTTTGAGCGAGGGCGTGGGCAGCCCCGAGTTCTGCCAGGTGTTTCGCGAGAACGCGACGCTGGAAGGTTTTGTGAAGCGGATCCTGGGCAAAGACTACTTCGTCATGGACCAGTGGCAGGTGGAAGAGCTGGCCAAGGTTTGCAGAAAGGCCAGCGTGAAGATTGTCAGCGACGGTTTGGAAGCAGAACAGCTTCGCAAGCTGTTCGTGGAGCCTGCCGCCTCGGTGGAACAAGCCGTGGCCGATGCGCTGGCGGAACATGGCCCCGAGGCCAAGATCGCCGTGATTCCTAAAGGCCCCTACGTGCTGGCCCAAGTTGCCTGACGAGGTAAAGGGCACCTCGCCAAGCAACGTGGGGCACGTGGATGGATGCGGTAAGCGTTATTTACTTGCCGTGGGGCGAGCGTACGTCAGCGCCAGCAACGCATAGCCGGTCACCAGGTTTGGGTCGCCTTCAAGCCAGCGAGAGTTCGCTTCGTTGATCCAGGAACCGTCTTCCTGCTGTTGCTTGGCCAGCGTCTCTGCGAGTTCGCGGCTCCAGTCATGCTTGTTGCCTTCGGCATCGGTGATGGTGTCTTGCCCTAAAGCATCAAGGGCCTTCGCGAAGGTGTGGTAGTAGTAGTACAACCCCGCGTCACCCATGCCTGGATTGTCTTGCAACGAGTAATGTTGCTTGATCCAGTCGAAGGCCGCTTTCACTCGCGGGTCGTCAGGGCCGACGCCCGCGTAGATCATGCTCTTCAAACCGGTGTAAGTCATCGAGGCGTAGCTTCGAAGTCCGCCATCGGGCGTTTCGCCGGCTTGGCTGGTTCCCCCGGCGGCACACGTGTAGTAGAAGCCTCCGTCGTTCACCTTCACGGCAAACGGGGTGGTGTTGTACGACGATTCAAGGTTCTGGCAGCGAGAGACGAACACAAGCGCCTTTTGAATTGCTGGATCGTCGGGACCACTGCCCGTGGAGGTGAGGGCTTCGATCAAGAAGCCGGTGTTGGAGAGGTCGGGCCGTTTGTGTCCACCGTAGCCCCCACCGCCGTAGCTGTAGTTCGATTCGTCGGCGCCTTCTTCTGCATCCCACTGGATACCACGCAGGAAGTTGTCGCCACCCTTGATGAGCTTGTCGTATTTGCCATCTCGATTGGCCTCATTGAACGCTAACACCGAGAGTGAAGTTTCGTAGTTGCGCCAGTGTCCTTCCGGGTTGTAGATGCCACCGTCTTCCTGAACGTAGCCTTGGAGATACTCGAGCGCTTTGGCAATCATCGGATCGTCGGGCGAGCGCCCATGTCGCAACAAAGCCGTGGCGACTAGCGCGGTGACTGCGGGTGAAGCTGAACCCGAGAACGATCCATCGGGCGCCTGTCCGGAAGTGCGAAGATACTCAACGGCCGAGTCGACCATCTTTGCATAAGCTTGAGGGTCGGGGCCGGTGGTGTTTGCTTCTGCAGCGGTTGCGATTGGTGTGCTGAACAGCAATGAGGCGATTGCCAGCGCGGCAAGCATTGCTGAGGTCCTCGAGTATCGATTAAACGTTCTCATTCTCTGACTCCTAAGCGTGAGAGTCTGGCGCTCTCGGTCGATGTGTTCAGTGGCTGTGGTAGACGCTGCCACCTCAACCGGCAGCCCCTTCCCAATCGCTGTAATTATTGCATCTGAAGACCAAATGTCAGGCGGTATTCACGGAGATCGTTTCCAAAAATGAAACAAAAAGACGGGCTGTCGTCGCGACCGACATTGGTGACGGTTTTTTCGACACGGTCCGGCGGTTTCCCTCGAAACCGGCATGACCAGACACCCGAGAGATGGGAACACGGGATGGGCAACAAGAATCCGCGTTGCAAGAAACGACGAGGCTTCCGCTTAAGAATTGTGGAGCCGTCGTAAGCGGTGGGTACAGGCAGGAAGATTGCGCTAGCCGGCCGTTTGAATGTTCGTTTCAAGCAGCGCACGCCGGAAGTCGGCAATCAACCTAGGTAGAACTTGGCGTAGTGTTCGGCTACTTCAGCACGGCGAGGATGTCGCCTTCGGACATGATCAACAGTTCTTCGCCGTCGATGGCCACTTCGTTGCCGGCCCAACTGGAGAAGATGACGCGATCGCCATCGCGAATTTGCGACTTAGCACGCGTACCGTCCTTCAGCAGACGTCCGTCACCCACGGAGAGCACACGTCCTTCGCTGGGTTTGTCACGCGCCGCGTCGGGGAGAACGATTCCGCCGGCGGTCTTCTCTTCGGCTTCGATTCGTTTAACGACGACGTTTTCACCCAGGGGTACTAATTTCATTACTATGTCCGTGCTTGAAGTTGTCGAGTACCAATCGAGCAGTTGTACGAGGCGCATTGCTCACAATCGGCACAATTAAGTCGCTCAGATTCTGACACGCTGTGGGGCGGGGTTCAATAGTTGGCCTTCGGAAGCGGCTGATCGGCCTACTGATTCAAGGCCATCGTCAATAAGAACAGCAGCCATACAGTTAAAACGAATCCGGCCGCATAAATGAGAATTTTCTGACGAGGGCTGGGGGGAGGTAACTCCCGACGTGGGGGCAGCTTCGAGGCGAATTTCCGATTCTGCGACTCTGTTCTTTTCGCGTCCTGAGGGCGTTTTCGCTCGCGTTGCGAAGCAGGGGTGGCCAGCAGCACGTTGGGTCGGAAGAGTAAACTGCCGCTGAACCACAGGTTAGGAGATTCCACGGTTCTATTCCGACAGTTCGATTCTGTACTCTTGTCGTAGCCCGGTATCAAAGTCGTAAACGTCGTCGAAGTCGCACCGGCGATCGTGGCGAGTTTTTTTCATGCGGCCAATGCGAATCAGGTTAAAAACGATGTCGCCGAAATCTCCCGTGCTATAAACGCCCCAGCTATTCAGTACGGCCTTAGCCATGAAGCCGTATTGCTCGTGGGCGTAGCTGCGAATGGCCTCGCAAAGCTGCTGGCCAGTGACGTGTTCTTCAGGGCCGCTGTTCTGGTAGTTGTCTTCGAACTCTTCGTCGAGCGGTTCACTTTCTTCTTCAGTGCCTAAGCCCAACACGGTATTCGCGTAGGTGAGTGCCTCGAAGACGAATAAGTACGCCTCGAATCGATACCGCTTGTCTTCAGCAAGCAACTTTGCCATGTCTGTGCCGGGTTGGATCATCTATGACTGCCTCAAGAAGCCGTTTTCAAGTTGCAGCACGCCGCCTCCATGGAGCGTGATGTTGGTGAACAGTTTATTTTTCTTTGCGATTTTCGTTTCTTCGCTTCAGCACGGTTAGTACGTCGCTGCCGGAGACTAATATCCTGCGGTGATCTTCCATCTCGACCAGCACCTGACTGGCAAGAATCTCTTGAGCCAGGACCCGGCCTTTCCCCTGGTTCGTTACCACGTTCGATCCGACTGGGGGAAGTTCCTTTCGCAAGCTCTCGTAAGTCGAATACTCATACCGTAGACAGCATTTCAAACGACCGCAACGACCCGAGATTTTCGTCGGGTCCAGAGTCGATTTCTGAACCTTGGCCATCTTCATCGATACCGGCGGCATCTCCGAAAGATGGGTGTTGCAGCAGACCACCTTGCCGCAATCTCCATAGTCGGCCAGTAGTTTCGCTTCGTCGCGTACCCCAATCTGCCGCATCTCAATCCGAGTTTGAAACTCGCTGGCCAGCTTCTTCACGAGCTCGCGAAAGTCCACCCGGTTTTCGGCCAGGTAGTAGAAGACGATTCGCTCGCCGCCGAAAAGATGCTCGACATCGACCAACTGCATCGGTAGCCCGAAGGCGGCGATGTGCTTCTTGCCGATTTCAAACTCGCGACGCTGATCGGCCCGCAGGCGGTTTATTTCGTTTTCATCATCGTGTGTCATTCCTCGAAGGATCTGGCCCTTGCCGGAGCCCGAGGGCAATTGCTCGACGGCCTTGTCGGTCGCCTCACAGAGGACCTCGCCCACTTCCAACCCACGATCGGTCCGAGCGATCACCTGGGCCGAGCGCGTAAACATCTCGCCACGACTTGTGGTGAACGTGCCTAAGCGGCGCATGGAACCACACCGGACGATATAACGCGGCATCGAAGCCTCGAATCCTCGGTCGAACGCTTACGGCGTATCGCGAGGTGGGAGTGCGAGCAGATCTGGGCCTAAATCGTTACAGGCACCTAGTATAGTGACGAAGGCTTCGCACGGTAAAGACTTGCGACGCTAGCAGCCGGGTAGTTGGCCCCCCGCAATGGCGTGTTATGCGGCTCGTATCGAAGTTGCGGACCCCGTTGCCTAAGATCGCCCCCCACCAGTGGCGAGGATGAACTGCTCCGCTTCCGCCACTCCCTGGGGGTCAGCCGTTCGAAGCTGTGTCAGGGCTGCCTCCGCTTCGCTGAGGGGACAGGCCATGAGGTATCCGACGATCGCCCGACGGAGCGCGACCGGGGGACGCATTTCCGGATCGTACAGCGCGAGGACCTCAGGAAGGGCTCCCCAGTCTTCCCAACGACTGAGATCGATAATTGAGGTGGCGGCCAGCGAAGGGCGTGACAGAAGCAGCCGAACACCTTTGGCCAGCCGCTCTGGCGGGATCGATCGCTCGAATTCGTAGTAGGCCCTGAGGGCCGAGGCCACATGTCTGAGATCACCTTCGGCGGCCTCTGGGTTCGCGAGGATATGTTCCTCGATCAGTTCCAAGCCAGGTTCGCCGGCCACCAGAAGATAGCCTCCGATCACGCCGTCGAACCCAGCTCGAAAGTCGTTGGCGGGTGCGAGGATGATCTCGCGTAGGAACGCCGCATTTTTAGCATCAATTTTTTGAGAGCGAGGGAACCCAAGGGCCAAGGCATAGAAGCCTTTCCGCTCTTGTGGAATGTTCAAATCACTCATCCATGCGCGAAGCTTTTCGCTGGGCAACTCGTCGGCCAGTTGCAGCACATCGTCGAAGGGGGCGTGGCCGAACTCGAGGTAAGCGTCTTCGGCAATCAACGGATCGGGATGCTGCAAGAATCGTGCGTAATAGCCAAGTCGTTTTTCGGCCGACTCTCTAGCCTCCGGGGCTTGGGCAAAGTACCCAAGGCTGGTCTCGTTTACGGTGACGGGGGTCCATCTCGCGTCGCCCAACGATTCGTCGTTGGTGAGGTTGCCAAACAAGACAGCCAAGGTCCCTACCTCACGAGCCATGTCGGCGGGAATCGCCAGAAGCTCGGTATCGCCGACAAGCTCCTGGCCTTTGAACACTCCGTGAATGCGAAAAACCTGTTCCAGGTCGTTTGCTTCAACCACTTCTGCGAATACGACCACATCGGCGCCGGTCCGCTGTTGAGACAACGTTGGTTTCACTGCTACGCAGAATGGACAAGCCGTGGCCGTCGATGCGATCGAAAGAAGCAACGCTGCAACAATTGCCGAGCTAAGACACGTGTTCAGAAACAAGGTCTGCCGTGGGCTTCGTCTGCCGTGTTGATTCGTAGGTCTTGGCATGACGATTGATCTTTAGAAAAGCGTGAATCTGGCTACTGCACCTTCACGCCATCGAGGTGAAATACCGAGAGATGTTCACCGCCTAAACCGAGCACCTCGTTCAGGCGAAAGGTGCCCTCAACAGCTACGGGACGAACGGTGTAATCAATCGACTTTCCATCAACCATGTCAACCGCCACGCAATCGTAGAGTGCAGCACCTGGACCGAAGCAACATTCCATGTTGTCGCGTACCAAAACGAATTGCTTAATGCCCGTCTGCTGAAAGGGAGGGTAGATGTAACCGCGGATACGAACCTTCTTGCCGAATAGGTTCTCAATCTCCTCGGTAAGCATCTCCGGCTCGAACGGATCGCCGGGCTCAATGTCGAACTTGATGGTATCGAAGGTGATCTCGGTTACGCCCCCCGAAGATGCCATTCCAGTCGAGGTCGGGCGAACCACACGGGGTTGCGGTGCGGGGGCTGTTTCATTCGGCAACGGTGGTCGCCGAAACGGGGGCCGTGTAGGGCGGGAAGGAGGCTCTTCACTCGATGCAGTTTCTTCGGGAGACTCATCCGGCTCTTGCTTAGCTTCGGGCTCTTTTTCAGCACGTTCTGTAGGGGGTGATTGCTCAGTCGGTGGACTGCTATCTGCCTCGTCTGCTACCTCTGCAGGCTTTGTTGTTTCTTCGTTGGGCGAACTCGGCTTGGGTTCGCCAGTGGTCGAGTCATTCGCTGCCGTCTCCTCGGTATTGCTGGAAACCGCCACCTCGCTTGTGCGTTCTTCGTTGGGTTGAGTGACGGCCGAGTCATCGCAGCCGGCCAGGGCGGAGATCGCCACAAGGCAAGCGACGAGGAGAATGTATCGGTGTCGTCGCATCATTTCAGATAGTCTGCTTCGAGGTGGTAGAGGACCGAACCGAGCGAATCGCTGGCCTCCGCCGGCTGAACTCGGAAGGTGCCCGCCAGACGCCGCATACTCGTGGTGTATTCCATTGCCAACGGCTCGGCAAGAGTGACTTGGATCATATCAGTCAGTTTCGGCTCGCCCCCGAAGCAGCAATCGCCATTGTCACGGCAGAGAATGAACTCCTTGATGCCAGTCTTCTGAGCCCCCGGGTAGGCGTACCCCTTGATGAAGACACGTTTGCCATCGAGATCGATCGCCGATTGGGGAACTTGTTGCCCCGGCTCATCGGGCTGAAGTGACTCGTAGGAAACTCGCATGTACCCGTCAGGCACTTCTGTGGCGTAAATGTAACCGATGCGAACCCATCCAGTGACCAGAAGCAGAACCGAAATCGCGATTCCGGCTTTCGCTAATCCTGCACCGGTCAAATCTTGGGGACGGCGGCGAATCTGCACGAGTGCCCGGGCACCCACCAAAACGCCAATCAGTGGGATTAGACCCAGGGAGAGATCGAACAGAGCCAGCAACGAGAGCACGCCACAGATCAGGCTCAACACGGCCATTGTGGACAGCACCCGATACTCGAACTCGGGGGCCTGAGTGGTGGCGGAATCAAGCTCGACGGTAGTGCTCATGGGGCTTTTTCGGGGCGAATAGTCGGAAGGTCAGCCAGATCGGCCGAATACGAGGCGGTTTCGATCATCGTATTCTACGTTGCCGCTTGCCGACGGTTCGCGCGAAGTAACCCCCAAAACGTGACAAACAGCACTCCGCCGAGCAACACGGGGACGCCAATCACCAGAGCCCGGGTTGAGGCAGAAGCCCCTGATCCCCCAGTGCCCTGCGAGTTGTCGGTACCGACGGGAGCAGTGGCTGCGACAGCATCTTCCTCGGATTTCTCTTCTTCTGAAGAACCCTCTGAGGGCGTGGAGGGATCACTGGACTCTTCTGCCAAGGCTGGCTCCGTGGCCGGTTCTTCGACGGCAACCTCGACCTCCATCTCTTCCGCCGGGGCGGCTTCTGATTCGGTTACTTCCTGGGTGGTTTCCGACTCAGCGGCCGGTTCCTCACTGGCGGTTTCTTCCGCATCGGCAAGGCTGGGTTGTCCGGTGTCTTCTTCCGCCCGCATTTCCTCGGTGACTTCTGCAGTCGCTTCCTCGGTCATCTCTGAATCCGAAGGTGTCGCTTCGCCATCAGCCGGGGCAACGCCGGCCACGGGGAAGAAGTGGCTGGCTCGCTTGACGGCATCGGGGTCGATCTCGGCCAACTCAGCAATCAACTCTTCGGCCTGAGGATCGGGGTTGGCACGCAGGAAGTTGATTACGGGAACGCGAACCCAAGACGAACTCTCGTCGGCATTCTTGAAAAGCTCGACCAGCCGCTCGGTCGACTCCCAATCTTCCCAACGTGCCAAGTCGGGAATGACCAGGTCGGCTAGTTCCGGGCGATCGAGCATGTGCCGGAGGGCTTCCACAAGCCGTTGCTGAGGGATGTGACTCTCCTCCTGGCCATGGAACCGCACAGCCATGATCGCCGAATAGGTGTCGGTGTATTCAGCGTCGGGGTTCTTGAGGAACTTGTCCTCGATCAGCGGAAGGCCTTCAGGCCCCTTGAGTGTGAGATAGCAAGCGATCAAGGCATCGAGTGCCGATCTGGCCTCGCGGTCTTCAGATGTGACCAGGTTTTCCAGCATGGGAACGTCGTCTTCAGTTCCGCAAACACCCAACATGGTGAGATACAACCGACGGTGGGTGGTCGTCACGTTGGGGTCTTGAATCCAGGCCACCAATTGATCGTGATGCATGCGATCTTTGAGTTGCTTCAGCTCGATATAGGGGGCTTTGGCAAACTCGTCATATGCATCGCGAGCGAGAAGATCTTGCTCGTCTTCAAAGTGCTCTTGGAAGAAGGCCAGGCGATCAGCACCGTTCTCGGGAAGCCCGGGCAGCTTGAGCATGTAGGCTTCAGTCTCGTCGTTAAGCGCGATGGGGGTCGACCATGCCATATCAGGCTGGGCTGTTCCCATCAGCAAAAAATGAGTCACGGCGGGATCTTCGCCAAAGTAGAACGCCTTGAACTTCTTCTGGTCACCAAGAGCATCTTCGCCCTTGAGAACATGGACGATCTCGAAGCCGGACATCGAATCTTCGGTGGTGGCCGTCACGTTGCCGTCCGATTGCTCGGGCCGCTCAACCACCTTGGCGATGACAACCACATCCGAGGCATTCATTTCTTCGCTGAACGTTAGCGAAACAGCACTGCAGAAGGGGCAGGCGAGTGCCGCGGGAAGCGCCATCAGGGCTCCCAGTGCGAAGAGGGCTAAACCGAGAGCCAACGCATGATACCGTCGAACAACCGCGCGACCTGAGGTCATCACAGAGACTCCTGCCTTAGTAGGCAATAGCGAGTTTTTAGAAGGCGGGGTTTACTGAGTTGGTCGGCCGGGAGCTTTTCGAGCCTGCATGGGAATGCCGTGCACATTATCCGACCGCTAGGGTGCCGCGCTAAGCGTCTTCGCCACATCGGTGCGATAGGCAGCCATGGCCGGCAAGTAACCGACCACCGCGGCGAGAACGATCAGACCGGGGATCAAGTACACCTCCATTATATCAAATGCGAAAGCACCCACCGAAATGCCGGCATATTCAACCACCAACGGGCTAGCCAGGGCAACCAGCCCGTGGCCGAGGGCAACTCCGGCGAGACCCCCCAATAGCGATAGCAAAACCGACTCCAGCAGTACGATCGTCAAAATAGTGCGACGTTGGGCGCCCAGCGCCCGCATGACGGCGATTTCACGACGGCGTTCGCTCATGGTGTTGTAAATGGCGACCATCATCCCGATGCCGGCATCGATCACCACTAAGATTGCCAGGGCCAGAATCAGCCATCGCACGGGGCCGACCAGGCCTGTGAAAAGATTAGTGATCTCCTTCAGGGGAAGGACTATCTGCGCCACCTGGCCCTCATTGACGATGGTGGGCAATTGCATCCCCCGCACCGGATCGGTGCGAAGCAGGATGGCCGTCACCTCCCGCTGATCCTCCGGCAGTGGTTCGTGATGGTGTCCATGATCGTGTCCATGGTCATGCCCGTGATCGTGCGCGTGACCGTGATCATTATGTGCATGATCATGGTCGTGGTCGCCGTGATCATGCTCGTGCTCCGCGTGATCGTGATCTTCATCAGCGGAATCCTCATTCGCAGCTAAAGCTGGTTCATCTTCGTGTGTGTGCTCGCCATCTTCGTGCTCGTGGTCATGTCCCTCGTGTGCGTGCTCGCCTTCATGTTCGTGAGCATGGTCATCGTGCCCATGGCCATCTCCGTGACCCTCCTTGGCGTGACCTTCGAGCAACAGGAAACCTTCGATGTTGACGAAGAGGGCTCGATCGTTCGGGGTGCCCGTGGGGGCGAGAATTCCGACGACTTTGAAGGCGTCGTGCTTGTGGCCTTGTTCTTCTTCAGTGGTGACGCCATGAGTGGGTTCAAATTCATCACCCACCTTCAAACCCGTCTTACGGGCAGCCATGTGCCCAATGACAGCTTCGAAATAATGATCGCTTTCGAAGTTCCGCCCTGAAGAAAACTCGTACGGTTGGCCAGGCGCGTATTCGATTTGTTCGAACAGGTCCGGCGTGGTGCCGACCACTCGATAGCCTTTGTAGTTGTCGCCCATACAGCAGGGGATTGCGACTTGGACCACGCTGCTGAATCGCCCGTCGGTGAATTCCTTGTAGTAAGACCAGGGGATGTTTTCAATCGGTTGGCTCAAATGAAACACTGTGTTGAGGACCAATTGCAGTTTGCCCCCCTTGGCACCGACGATCATGTTGTAGCCGTTGGCCGAACGCTCGAATGTGCTTTCAACCACCGAGTAAATCACCAGCACGGCCACCACGAGAGCGACACCTAAAGCAATCGACAGGCCCGTGAGCATCGACGACAAACGGCGCTGTTCCAAACTACGCCACGCAATCTTGATCAAGCTCATGTCGCGCTCACCACCTGGTTAAGTTCTTCAAGTTTTTCTATGCGTTCGAATTGATTGGCCACCTCGGGCGTGTGGGTGACCATCAGCAGGGCCACGTTTTCTTCGCGGCAGGTCTCACGGAGCAAGTCAACAATCTGCTGTTGATGGCCAGTGTCGACGTTGGCCGTAGGTTCGTCGGCCAACAAGAGTTGAGGTCGATTCGCTAGGGCCCGGGCCACGGCAACCCGTTGCTGTTCGCCCACCGACATCGTTGACGGTTTGTGCTTCAGTCGGTGCCCCAGTCCGACACGCTCCAGCAGGGCTTGCGAGCGGTCGTCGTCGACACGACGGCCTGTGAATGCCATCGCCAACTGGACATTCTCTAGAGCAGTGAAGGCATCGAGCAGATTGAAGGTTTGGAATACGTACCCAATCTTGGCGGCTCGGAAGTTGTCTCGAGCGGCTTCGCTGAGTGCCGCAATATTAGTTCCATCGATTTCGACCGATCCCCGGTCGGGAAGACTGATGCCGGCGATGATGTGCAGGAGTGTCGTTTTACCGCAGCCGCTACGGCCGCTGAGCACCACCTCTTCACCGGCGGACACACGAAACTCAGGGATATCGAGAATCGGCAGACGGCCGCCATCGGCCTGGGTGTATGACTTCTGAATCTCGGTCAATTGCAACATTAGGGGTGTTTTGACCTCTCACTCCGAGCATTTCGTTTTGGCGGTCAGATTCGAGCTGACTGCAACCGTCCTCAAACCCCGGTAGGACAAGAAGATAACGCCTAGACCACCGACTTCTCAAGGTGCCTCGATCAGTTGGTTAGCGCGCACAGCTTTTCTATCATTTGCCAGTAGCAGAACTTCGTACGAGGGAGGGGGGGTAGAGGTTCGATTAGAGAGGGCAGAAATGTCAGAATGAATGTTTGGCCAGTCAAAAAACCAGGGCCTTCAGGCACTGCTAACGTTGACGCATTGCCCTCTGGATCTGGCGTTGGCTGTCGGCCTTCTTAAGCGACTCTCGTTTGTCGTAAGTCTTCTTACCGCGACCGATGCCCATGAGCACTTTGGCCCGACCGCTCTTGAAGTACATCTTCAGCGGGACCAGCGTGAGACCTTTCTCCAAGGCCAGATTAGCGAACTTCGTGATCTCTCGCTTATGCAGGAGCAGCTTCCTCGGGCGGCGGGGATCGTGGTTGAACTGGTTCGCCTCGGTGTATTCGGCGATGTCGCAGCCCATCAAGTACACCTCACCCGCCTTCACACGGCCGTAGGCTTCGTCGAGCGAGACTTTGCCATTGCGGAGGCTCTTCACCTCGCTGCCGACCAGCTGCAGGCCACACTCCAAGGTGTCCAGTATTTCGTAGTTGTGGCGCGCACGGCGATTCTGAGTGATGACCTTATCGGCCTCACCCGGCTTCTTGGCCTGAGCCCCATCCTTCTGCTTCTTAGATTTGCTCACAAAACTCCCACATCGACAGTTACTTCCAAGCCCCAGACAAGACTGCCGGGGCTTACCGCGGCGAATCGCGGCGGAATTGTCCACCACGCCCGGCACGACTACCACCTTAGCGGGCAGCAGGGCAGATTGCAGGATCTGCCTGAATAACCCTGACCGACTGGGGGTTTTGCCCGGTGAGGTGGCCGATACGTGTTTGTCGACTCCCAGGCAATTGGTAGAGTTAATCTATCCAGCGGTCGCCCAAGGGGAAAGCGATGTCGAGGGTTTTCAACCACGTCACGCAGAACCATTCCTGCCGACTTAGGGTCGGTGAGGGATCGCTATCATCCATCGTCAGCAATCACCTCTGGCAGACACGTCGAGGAACTCAGAGCCTTGTTAGCCCCGGCTGTCCATTCCGACCGCGCGCGACCCTCGGTCGAAGCCTACCTGCTGGGGCGGCTCGACTTCGAACAGGGGCTCGCGCTGCAACAGCGGCTGGTGTACGAAAGCACCGGGCGTCGCGATGGCCGCATTGATCTGCTGATATGCGAACATCCCACCACGCTCACCATCGGGCGGCAAGGTTCTCGCTGGCACGTTCCCTGGAACTCGGAAGAGCTTCGAAACCGAAATCTTGAGTTGCGGTGGGTCAATCGAGGGGGTGGATGCCTTGCCCATGTGCCTGGTCAATTGGCCATTTATCCGATTGTTCCGCTCAACTGGCACGGATTTACGGTGGGAAACTATCTCGACCGTCTTCAGGCGGGTGTTCTAAACACGCTCGAAGAACTACGATTTCATGGGTTGAGTACGCGGGAACGCGACGGCATCTGGGGTCGCAGTGGCCAATTGGTTGCCTTGGGAGCGGCCGTGAAAAGCTGGACCACCTATCACGGTGCGTTCATCAACGTTTCCCCGTATCTCAAACCTTGGCGAGCCCTGAAGACCGACCCCCGGGGCCGGACCGCGATGAGCTCGTTAGTGGCCGAACGCCCCAAGCATTCGGTGAAAATGACCACCGTACGCACGGCAATCATTCGCCACCTTGCCGAGGCGTTTGGTTGCGAGCGATATCACCTGTATACGAGCCACCCGCTGCTGCGGAGCACGCTCGCCGAACGAAAGACAACGACCGCGGATGTTGGATAGCCTGCCCATTATCGACCGCCCGATTGAAACGCCCAAGCACGAGCGTCTACCAGCATGGCTGCGTCGCAATGTTCCCAAGGGCAACAAGAACCATTACACGGCGCGACTTCTCTACGAGTTGCGACTAGAGACCGTTTGCGACAATGCACGCTGCCCTAATCGGATGGAGTGCTATTCGCAGAACACGGCCACTTTCATGATCCTGGGCAATGTCTGCACGCGGCCCTGTGGATTTTGCGCCGTAGATCATGGCAAGACACAACGCGTCGAAGCAGACGAGCCACAGCGCCTGGCCGAAGCGAGTCGCCGTTTGGGGCTTGAGCACGTGGTGATCACCTCCGTCACTCGCGACGATCTTCCCGACGGGGGAGCCGAACACTTCTATCAATGCGTGCTCGAAGTACGAAAAACCACCGGTGCGGCCGTCGAGGTGCTTACCCCCGACTTCGGATACGACTTCGCAGCCCTCGATCGCATCATCGAAGCGGCTCCCGAAGTGTTCAACCACAATACCGAAACCGTGCCCCGGCTCTATCGCGAGGTGCGGGGACGGAAATCAAAATATCCCAAGACTCTCGAACTGTTGAAGTACGTGAAGCAGAACGGGAAGAACATTCTCACCAAGAGCGGGCTCATGCTGGGGCTCGGTGAGACTCGCGACGAAGTGATGGACGTTCTCGCCGATCTTCGCCGCGTGGATTGCGACCTGCTCACATTAGGGCAATACCTGCGCCCCTCGCCGGAATATCTGCCCGTGCAGCGGTACGTTCCGCCGGAAGAATTCGATGAACTTGGTGAGCTGGCTCGCAAGATGGGCTTTCGTGAAGTGGCCAGTGGGCCCTTCGTTCGCTCAAGCTATCACGCCCGCGATATGGCCAACGGGAACGGATAACCCGCAATGTCTAGCCGCACCCCCTCGGGCGATCGAATCGAGTTGCGGCTGCCAGAGTTAGGGCTAGGTGATGCCCCGGTGACGGCCAGCATGTGGCTGGTCGAATCTGGCAATGAGGTGACCGAAGGTGACCGGCTGCTGGAGGTTCTCTCCGGCAGTGTAACCGTCGATTTGCCGGCCCCGACCAGCGGACGACTGATTGAGACCACCGTCGAAGTCGACGAAGAAATCAGCGTCGGGCAGCTTTTAGGTGTGATCGAAGCCATCGGTATGCCAGAATGAGAATCAATGTGGGTGCAGCTTCCATTGCATCCCCGTCGTTGTCTCTCCCTGCTCCTCATCCATCGCTGGGGTATCGATTGATGAAGATTCGAAAGCTCTACAGTTCGGTATGGGCGACGTTGTCGCTCAGTGCGGCCATCCTTCTTTCGGTTGGTCTTTTCCCGCGCATTCTTGCTGCTCAGCAACTGACGATCGTTGAGTATGTCAACGCCAAAGGGAGTGTCACTTCGGTGCGGCCCGGCGAAGTGGTGGTTGCTGGGGGTAATGGTAAGCCGCAAGCCTTCGCGATCCAGCAGGGTGACCGTGGCGTTGCTCTCGGTGCGGCGCAAGCCTTGGTGAACTTCCCGGCGACGGTCACTGTCGGCGGGTCACTCACATCAGAGGCCCTCGTTGCTGGTACACCGGTTCGGTTCACGGCGCAGGTTAATCGTCTGGGGAGAACGGACGGTTCGATCACAAAACTCACCGTGGTCGATGAAAAACAAAACCCACCGTCGTTCGAAGTGATCACCGCGCCAGAGTCGGGTGGGGATTACGGCGAATGTGAGATCACCGGGAAGGTTGTCTCTCTGCGTCGAGACCGTCTTACGGTGAGTATTCCTGAGAACGACTACGTTCGACGAGATCGACTGGTCTTCGAACTGGCTGAAGACGCCAAGATTTCTCTTGAGAGCGATGATTACCTGCGGGCAAAGCCGGGGGACGAAGTGGTTTCGCTTCGTGCTGCCCGATTTAACACGGGCGATGTGGTGATCCGGGAACTCGAAATCCAGATCGCCGGCGGTGAAGAGCGTTCTCGGGCAGCCGTTGTTAGTAAGGTGCCTGAGAAGTATCGCAAGTATTCCGATGAGCCAAGCCAGCCCCGCGTTTTGCGTTCGACCAATTTTATTCTGAATACCGACATCTCGGACCGCAGTGCGAAGATTTTGCTCGATAAACTCGAAACGATGATTGCGTTGGTCTCCCAGTACTATGGTCGTCCTCCAGGCCGGGTGATCGAGTGCTATGTCGTTCGTGATCTAACGCAATGGCCGCGCGATAAGTTTCCAGACATGGCCGCGGCCAAGATAGCGGAGCCGGCCGGTGTGACGATCACCCGAATTTTAGGCAACGATGTGCGGTCGATTGTGTACTCGTGCGACGAACATGGTGTGGCTCAACACGAAGCGGTGCATGCCTACTGCAATCAAACTTTTGGGGATACCGGGCCCACTTGGTACTCTGAAGGCATGGCCGAAGTTGGCAATTACTGGAAACAGGGCAAGCTTGCTGTGGAAGTCGAGCCGGGTGCGATCATGTACCTGAGAAACACTCCACCCAAGCACCTTCTCGACATCGTTGCCGCGGGACAAATCACGGGCGACTCTTGGCAAGCATATACCTGGCGGTGGGCGCTTTGTCATTTGTTGGCATTCAACCCCAACTACTCCGATCGGTTTAAAGGGCTGGGGTTGGCAATGATGGCCAAGAAGCCGGGAGCCTCGTTCGAAAGCGTGTACGGATCGGTGGCCAAGGAGATATCTTTCGAATACGACCAGTTCATTCAGCAGGTCGATAACGGCTACCGGGCCGATCTATGTGCCTGGGAATGGAATAAGAAATTCGTTCCGCTTCAGGGCGATCGCTACGTCAAACGCGACGTGGAAGCCAACCGCGGGTGGCAGGCCAGTGGGTTACGTGTCTCGGCGAATGAGAAATACGACTATGTGGCCAAGGGCACCTGGAAGATCTCAGATAGAAGTGAAGTCGATGCCGACGGCACGGCTGACGGAGGCGGCAAGCTGCTCGGCGTGGTCATGAAAGAATTCGAACTGAGCGAGCCCTTCGAGCTTGGCGCCCGGGGTACTTTCACCGCTCCGACCGATGGCGATCTCTACCTGCGTTGCAACGACAAATGGCACCAACTCGCCGACAACGATGGGGCTATTCCTGTGTATCTCCGCCGCTCGCAGGGAAAGTAGTCTGCGAGGAACGAAGAAGTTACAAAAAAACGGCTTGGCTTCCGTAGCGAATACGAAAGCCAAGCCGCATATTGAATTACGCTGATCTCAGCGTAACTGGCCCTCTAAGTTAGGCACTGCCCGAGCGTCGGGACCTGCGCCGAAAGAGACCGCAGCCAAGAAAAGCACAGCCGATTGTTGCCAAGGCGATGCTCGAAGGCTCCGGAACCATTTCCAGTTCGTTGCTGAATGCCAGTACGGCATCCTCGAAATCGGGCACCGAGGGGTTGGAACCATCTTCGTCGAGTCCATAGTTGAACACGATGAAGAACGGATTCGACTCGGCAATGCCACTGGCATCAGTCACTAGTTCCATCAGCAGACCATAGGCACCAAGCGGGGCTCCTGCCGAAAGGGTGAAGCCGACATGAGAGTGAAACTCGCCGACTCCGTCTGCCTGGCCGATGGCACCACCCGGGATGATGGCTCCGGAGCCAGCCGTCACGAGTGTGTTCGGACCCACCGCGTTATCGATGTCGATCGAGGCCAAACCTGGGGAGTCGAAATCTTCGGTGGTCAAACTCCAGAAATAGAGGTTGTCCAGGATATTGTACGAGATGATGTCACCCGCACCGATTCCGAGACCCTCGACAATCTCCGATCCAAAACCGGGTGACGTCGTGTGCCGCTCGAAGAGTCCGCTGGTGGGGAAGTCGCCCTCGAACACCAGGCCTTCGTCGCCGGGCTCGATCTCAATCATTCCGGAATCGTAGCCGAATTCGATATCTGAGTGTTGAGCCTGAGCGTTCGAGACGAACAGGCAAGCGGCGACAAGTGCCGCGCAAAAAGTAAAACCTTTAAGTTGCATGGTGATGCTCCACATTTGTATTTGAAGATGTAAGCAGAAAGACATTCCGTGGGCGGTCGACACGGTGACAGCGCAAACCACGGTTCGTCGATGACCGCGCTCGTTGTGCACTAGGCGGTCTGTTTAGTGATTCAGTTCCTCAGTAGCGTAGCTCCCTTCGCATGCCAGCCGACCCTGTTGTCTCTTTCTAAGCGAATGTCCAACAAAACTCTGTTTCTTCAGTTGCCTCTGTGAGCAAATCTGTGGTGTTCGTTACTTTTCGAGGTTCACAACCGCCCCGTCATTGCGGCTGCCAATGGCCCACCAAGTACGCTGATCGACGTCGTCGGTCACAAAAAGCACATGCCCATCGCCCATCAGCACGTTCACACCGCCCGAGTGATAGCTGCTCGGCGTGATCAAGTTGTCGCCGGAAGTTACACCGTCGTGCAGATGCATATTGATGGTATTGGGGGTGAAAACATGCATGTACGTGGGGGCGGTCAACGTCCACCCGGAGATCCAAGAGCGACCTTGGTACGCGCTAAGCCTTGGATCGGAATGCGGGTTGAGTTTGGATGTGGCGATCATTTGCGGGAGTGTTCGGGCTGATTCCGGCAGATGGTAAGACTGCATGCGGTTGTCGGCAGCCTGGATCTCATCCAGGTTGTTACCCCGCATAATGAGCCGCTCTGATACGGCGGCAGTGTTCGACAACCCATCGGTCACATCCTTTACACGAATTGCGCGATGCGGGTGCCAAGGGACCTCGACGTTAGGCTGCATGTTGGCCAGCGTAATTAGCCCGTTGTATTCGCCGGGATAAGATCGCTCGCCGTTGTAGCCAGTGGCGTACGAGGGCCACCCCGCGTTCGCCGCATAACTGTCTGGAGCCGCATTGGCGGTTCCCATCACGAGAACGCTGTTCGTATCTTCCCCATCTGCCGGGCAAAGGTAGACGGGCACAATCGTGCTCGCCGCTGCAGCATTGGGGTGATCGGCACTGATCGTCGCATCAAGCGGCTCGTTGGGCTGGTCGGCCATCGTGATGTTGAAGTCAATCTGTTGGTGCAGCGGAAGCTGCTCGACATAGGGCAGAATCATGGCCATCCAACTGAAGTGGCCGGTCAAACTCCCGTCTGCTCCATCCGAACCTCCGCCAGAAGTCATCGAGAGGGGGTACCCTCCTAGTGCGTCGTGGTAGCTGGCAAAGGCGATGCCGATTTGCCGGAGGTTACTGCTGCACTGCATGCGACGGGCTGCGCCCCTGGCCGATTGCACAGCGGGAACCAGGATGCTCACCAGCAGCCCGATAATGGCAATAACGACAAGCAACTCGACCAGCGTAAACGCTTGACGATGTCTCATGATTTCAGCCACTCCGCTGAGTGTTTCTTTGTATCTGTCCGATATAATGTGCGAACCAATGTTCCGTGGCGGCGGCACAGAGCGAGCGATGGTCGGACCGCCGAGGTGCTCTGCGCCGCGCGCTCACGGAACCAGAACAATCTATTCGGGCGGGCCATCGCAGAGCTGGAAGCAACTTCGACGGCTGAGTTTCCATGCGATTTCAAGCCAACATGGGCTGGGTAATCACAAGGCGAAAACTACGTCGCACCATCGGACAAAGCAATCAGTTAAGACGCTATATCCAGGGTGAAACTCGAATGTCGAAACGAAACAACACGCAACGGGGAAAACTCTACGCCGATCCCTGCGTGTACTTCAGTCCTCAAGCGATGGCGAGAGAACCAGAGGGAGGGCCACGCGCATCGTACGATTCGGTAATCGCTTGGCGTGGTGAGGTGAATGCCGAGGCGAGTACCTCGCGCGATGGAAGCTGGTGCACTTCGGGTGCAAAGTATTCGGCTGCCTGTTGGCTTTGCAGGTAGTAGTTGCAAACCTGGCAGTCGTGCTCTTCGTGTTCCTCGTGCGAACCCTCCTGTTGGGGATCGCTGGAAGTAGACGCCGAGCAAGGACCATGCGAGTGATGGTGGTGGTCGTGCTCAGAATGATCGATTGCGTTTCGGACGAACTCGTGATGGTAGCAACTAGAATCACCCGCATGATGCAGGTGCAAGTGCAGACCGTGCCCGCCTACGGAAATGCCCGCAAAGGCGCCGGCTAGAAGCCAAGCTGAGATTGCACGGAAGCTTGAATACACGAATAACCGCCCAGAAAATGCAGGACACGCAAAGTATTCGGCGGTCCGACCAGTGCTTAGTATTCGTAGGTTCTCAGCCCAAGTCAAGCGGTTCGGGGCGGGTTTTGTGATTCACCGAGCCTACGGCCAACGATTGTTTCCAGCTCAAGAAGGGTCTTCCGATAGGGCACTTCCGCTTCTGGGGTGCTAGAGTGCACCGTTTTATTCGAGATGGGGCCAGGTTTCCCCCTGATTTTCAACGGAGCACCCTGATGGACTCCGCCCTCGCGATCTATCTTCCGCCACCTGCGGTTTTACAGTAGTTTTAGGGCAATTCTGCTCTCGGAACGGATCTCAGGGCTCTCCGCCGCAGGAAGCGACGGGTCACATCGCCTCGGAAATGGAATTTCGCACATGGCTCAGGGAAACACGCTTGATTCATACACCTTTACTGGTACGAATGCCCACGTGACGTCCAACACAAAGCATAGCCCGACTACTGTCGACAAAGACCTCAAGAGCATCACGATCGTGGGCGGCTGCGGTCATGTCGGGCTGCCCCTGGGGATTGCTTTTGCGGAAGTTGGGGCGGAAGTTACTCTGCTCGATACACATCCCGGAAGAGTTGCCGAAGTCACTTCGGGCGAAATGCCGTTTCTTGAGCGCGGGTCTGACGACGCGATTGGACCCGTGCTGGAAAGCGGGCGTCTGAAAGCGACCACCTCGATCGAGTCACTCTCCGAGGTCGACGTGGTGATCGTGACGATCGGAACGCCGGTGGACGAGTTTCTCGATCCTGGCGTGGGCACCTTCGACAAAGCCCTCGCCTCGGTGCTCGATGCCATGCAGCCGGGCCAGATGCTCGTGCTGCGAAGCACCGTATTTCCCGGAATTACCGAACGGCTCTCTCAAGAGATCGCGAGTCGAGGTCTCGATATCGACTTGGCATACTGCCCTGAACGTATCGCACAGGGATACGCCCTGGGAGAACTGAGCAAGCTGCCACAGATCGTCGGCGGAACCACCGAGAAAGCCACCGATCGGGCCTCGCGGTTGTTTCAAATGCTCGGTGCGAAAACTCTCGATCTAACACCGACCGAAGCGGAACTGGCGAAACTGTTCTCGAATGCTTATCGCTACATCAATTTCGCCATATCCAATCAGTTCTACATGATTGCCGAGAAGTTCGACGCCAACTTCCACCGCATTCATAAGGTGGTTACTTCCGAGTATCCGAGACTGTCGGGCTTTGCTACCGCAGGCTTCGCGGGTGGGCCATGCTTGCTGAAAGACACCATGCAGCTGGCTGCCTTCAACCACAACGATTTTGCCTTAGGGCAGGCCGCCATGATGGTGAACGAAGGCTTGCCCAGCACGTTGGTGAAAATGGTGAAGCAACGACACGGCCTGGCCGGGAAAACGGCCGCCATCTTGGGGATGGCTTTCAAAGGGAACTCCGACGACCCACGGGCTTCGCTCTCGTACAAACTCCGTAAGGTGTTGGCGCTGGAGTGCAAGCAAGTGTTGTGCAGCGATCCCTACATCAAGGACGAAACATTCGTCCCATTGGAGCAATGCCTTGCAGAGGCCGACGTGCTGTTCATCGGCTGTTGCCACGACGAGTACAAGCACCTGAAAACCGACAAACCGATTGTCGACGTATTCAACTTTGTGACGGAGACACACGGATGAAGGTTTTGGTAACCGGATCGGCAGGCTTCATCGGCGGATACCTCGTCGATGAGTTGCTCGGTGCGGGTTATGAAGTCGTCGGCATCGACAACTTCTCGAAGTACGGCGAGCTGACCCAAGCTAGCCAACAGCATGATGGCTATCGACTGGTCACGGGCGATGCGAAAGATGTCGATCTGCTGAAAGAGTTACTGGCCGACTGCGATCACCTGGTTGCTGGAGCGGCACGAATCGGCGGCATCTCGTACTTTCACGAGTATGCCTACGATTTGCTGGCTGAAAACGAGCGGATTACGGCCGCCACATTCGATGCCGCGCTCTGGGCTCATCGAGAAGCGAAACTACAAAAGATTACTATCGTTTCGTCATCGATGGTCTACGAGAATGCAACCGAGTTCCCGACGGTCGAGGGCACCCAGCGCACATGCCCTCCGCCGGCTTCGACGTATGGCTTTCAAAAGCTGGCTGTTGAGTATTTCGCCCAGGGCGCACACGAACAGTTCGGATTGCCTTACACCATCGCTCGTCCATTCAATTGCGTGGGCATTGGTGAGCGGCGAGCCGTTGGCGATCGGGAACTCCTCTCGGGCAACGTGAAGCTGGCCATGAGCCACGTGGTGCCCGACTTAGTGCAGAAAGTGCTCAAGGGGCAAGACCCGCTGCATATTCTCGGCGCAGGCAAGCAGGTGCGGTGCTACACATACGGGGGCGATTTGGCCAAGGGAATTCGGGCCTGCATTGAACACCCCAAGGCCCTCAACGAAGACTTCAACCTATCAATCGCCACGGCTACCAGCGTGCTGGAACTGGCGGAGTTGATTTGGCAAAAGGTGCACGGCGACGGGAAGCCGTTCAACTACGTGTCAGACGATCCATTCCCCTACGACGTGCAGCATCGAGTGCCCTCGGTCGAGAAGGCTACAGAGCTAATGGGATTCCGTGCCGAAACAGAACTCAGTGAAGTGCTCGATGAAGTCATTCCATGGATCGAACAGCAAATCGAACTAGGGACGATTTGATGACCGAACTTCCTGCTACGGCCTCCGCTCCAAAAGTAGAACCGAAAGTGACCGACCACACGCTGTCACTGATCATTCCGGTGTATAATGAGGCCGAGAATGTTGAAGCTCTGGTGGCGGAAATCGAGCAGTATATTCCGCAGCCATTCGTAGCGAATATTGTTTACGACTTCGAAGAAGACACCACCGTGCCTGTGGTTCGGCAAATGGCCGAGACGCGACCGTGGCTGCGACTGGTGAAGAACGATCTGGGACGCGGCGTGGTGTACGCACTGCGTGCCGGTTTCGAATCGGTAGCTGAAGGGCCAGCATTGGTCGTCATGGCCGACCTGTCTGACGACTTGAGCATCGTGCCACGGATGGTCGAGTTACATGACGAAGGTTATCGGGTAATCTGTCCCAGTCGCTACATGCGTGGTGGCAAACAAATCGGTGGTCCCTTGCTTAAACGGACCATGAGCCGCATGGCAGGGCTGAGCCTGTATTGGCTGGCCGGGCTGCCAACGCACGACGCCACGAACAACTTCCGCATGTACGATGCCGCCCTCGTCAACGAGTTGGGCATCGAGAGCAGTGGTGGTTTCGAGGTCGCCTTGGAACTTACGGCCAAGGCCCATCGTCGCGGAGTGCCGATCACCGAGGTTCCGTGCACCTGGCGCGACCGCACCGCCGGCGAATCGCGGTTTCAGCTTTGGAAATGGTTGCCGAAGTACCTCAAGTGGTACTTCTATGCCCTTGGATCCAAGTTCAGCCGCCAGTCTTAAGACGTTTTTCTGAGAGTGGAAACTCGATTCACTTAGTGGCAAGGACGCCAGATGAGTGGGCAGACGAATCAAACCGACTCGGTCGACTTACTCGAGAGGTCGACGAATCGAACTCGCACACGGGCCCAGTGGGCCGACGTGGCACATATTCTTCAGCCCAGCCGCTGGTCCCTGGCCGCGCGATTGGCCGGCGAGCGCCGACGCAGGCGGGCCGTCATCTATCTGGGGATCGCGATTGTTGCATTCACCGGATATTTCCTGGTGCGTGTTAGCAGCCAAGCCATCGATGAGCCTGTGGGTGATTGGGGCGTTTATTATCGCGCCGGGTTGGCGATGCTCATCGGTCAAACACCTTATTCACTTGAGTTTGGGCCCTACCTCACGTTCAAGAATGCCCCCATTGTTGCAACTGCAATTGCCCCATTGGCAATGCTGCCTCCATTGATCGCGCGTTGGCTGTGGTGCGTGATGGATGTAGCCTTGGTGGGGCTCATCGCTTGGCTTGCAGTTCGAATCGTTGAGGGAGACGGGCCAATCCGCTATCGCACGTGGTGGGTGGCGGTTGCCGCGGTAGGGCTCTCGTTGCGGTACATCATGAACCAGATGCACGCGGGTTCCACCGCCACGCTTTGGGTAGCGCTCTTAATGGGGGCGTTCTTTCTCATCCAGAGGCAACGCATGTTCACCGGTGGAGGTGTTCTCGCGGCTGCCGTCGCGTGGAAACTCGTGCCGATCTGTTTCGTGCCCTATCTGTTCCTGAGGCCAAAAACTATCTGGGGGCTGGCGGGCTTTGTGGCTGCCGTCGCGGTGATGTTCATTACCCCGGCCATCGCACTTGGGTGGAACCAAAATCTTAGCGTGCACGCGGAATGGCCACAGCATTTGTTCTCAACCGAGATTCCCCACCAGATCTGGCGTGTGCAGAATCAATCGGTCTATGCACAGCTTTCTCGACTCTTGGCTCCTTCCACACATGGTTGCCAGTTCCTAGAAATCCCTCGAGATCAGGTGCGGAACTTGTGGTTGATCTTGAGTTGTTTTTCAGCCGCTGCTTTGTATGGAAGCTTCTTGCTGGCCGACCGTAGAGCAACGCGAAAGACTCCCCCGGCGATTCATCTTGCACTGCTACTGATTTACATGACTGTGTTCAATCCCTTGGCGTGGCGATACAACTTCGTAGCCATGCTCTTTCCGTATTTCCTGGTGCTCTACGGGATCGTTGAAGGCGGACCACATCGCCGAACGCGAGTTGGACTTCTAGTAGTCGCTTGGGTACTCAGCTCGTTGCCGAGTGGCGGACCCTGGCCGATTGAATCGCTTCACGCGGCTGGCGATCGACTGTGGGGCACAATACTCTTAGGAATCGCAGTCGTGCTCACGGCTCCGGTGCTCTCTAAAAGAACAGAGTCTGCTCACTCTGAGAGTGAAAGCACATCTTGGGAGACTGAAACGTCCACGCCTCTCTCGGCGATGGGGAGTCCCAGGGTCCACAGTGTGGCTTGAGTCACCAGCCGGCGGTACGGCTCAAGCTGCCAGTTCTTGTGGAAATGAAGGCCGCTGAACCCAAACGATCGACCCCCGTCGGGCCGCTCCCAGGCCCAGGCCACCGTTTGTGGCTGTCCCTTAATGTCGACTTTGATCAGTGGTTGGATCCCAATTTCGACTAACGCTGCATCGTTGGCTGGGGCGTAGGTGAGTCGATCGGATTCGTCTGACGAAGTATCCAGGACTGGGTGCTTCAATCGATAGTAGAATTCGTCTTGGACCATCACCGATTCTACACCGCTAAGAATCGGGTGGTTGACTGCCGCCGGGGTGAACATCGTTTCAACCACGGCATATTTTCGATCGGGGCCGCCGTGGCAGCCACCGAAGAGCTTTACAAATCCATCGATGGGTTCCGCGGTCTTCGTTCCAATAGCCCAGTGCAAGGCGACTAACCCACCTCCCCGTTGCACAAGACGGGCGAAAGCTTCTTGCAAGCGGGGATGATCGAAAATCCATCGGGCACCTTGAGCCACGAAAAGGACGGCCCCGTCGGCCTCGGCCAGTAACTGTGGACCCTGGGTCCAGGCGCCATCGCCGGCAACGGTTTCGATCTCCAGGTTTGGCACTTTTTCAAGGCAGCTTCTCAACACTCGGAGCCCCGCTTGATATTCGTGTGTGGTTGCGGGATGACCATCAGGGCCCTGATAGATCAACAGCAGCCGTTTCGTCTCCTCTGCGGAAGCATTTACAGTTCCGCACAGGGAGAGAACCAGAAAGGCCACTGCAAGCAAATACCCCCGCAGGGTGAAGGCTGTTGAGCGGCCCTGCAGTGTCCAACATCGTTCTGTAGATAGTCGCATTCGTGATGTTGCCTTGTACCAAGATGCGGGGTAGGGGCATTTCAAGCATCGCGATTCTACTCGCCCGAATTCGTGATCGCCAAACCGCAGAAAAGCCCGGGAAAATCGTGAAATGAATGTGGGCAAACCGTTTGACAAGCGTTTGTCGGGCTGCGAGATTAGTGGGTCTTCGACAGGCCGACAGACGCCAGCTGCCGGTCGAGGGCCTGTCGCAACAAGGGGTGCCAGCCGCATGTACATTCGTGTATGCAGTTCGCTGAGGCTGGTTGGTACCACGGTATGTTTTTAGGCCCTAGTCGCGGGCCCACTGGCCCGTCTGGAGATGAATCAAAATGGCGATTGAACACTGCAAGCAGATCTTCGAAGAGTTCCCCAACCGGTTCAACAAAGAAGCCGCTGGCGATTGGGAAACCACGATCCAATTCAACATCACCGGTGAAAAAGGTGGCGACTGGATCGTTAAGGTCGAGAAGGGCGAAGTCGACGTCACCGAAGGCGTGGCCGAAAACCCCAAGTGCACCATCACCACGACCGACGAAACGTGGATCGGTTTGGTCGAGGGTACTGTGAACCCCATGACCGCCTTCACCCTCGGAAAGCTGAAGGTCAAAGGCAACATGGGCGACGTCATGAAACTGCAGAGCGTCGTGCTGAAGAAGTAGTTCCGCACTTGCTTCACCCTTCACCTCGAGTCATTTGCGGTTTCTAGTCCGCAAGAAGTCCTTTCTGGTCTTCGTATGGAATGAGGTTGCGCGCATCGGGAATCGAATGCTCGCCGAACCTGTTTTTTGGCAGCGTTCGAGAGCTCGATTCCGGTCGCGCGGGGGCCTCTTAACGCTTGGGGCCGAGCCTCGAATTCATACCTTGCAGCGGTTGACTGCGAGGAAGCGCCGCTTGCAAATTGGGCTCAGTTTAGTGTGCAGGTGTGCGGTTGATTGGCACACCTCTGATCCTTCCTTGCAGCCAATGCCAGCAACCGAGGGCGGATTTCCTCCCGCAAGGTTTTCGCAGCCGGCACGACACCTCACCCGGATAGGGGACTTTCCTGGGATTGGGAGAGCTGCCGCGAACGGCATCCGGTTTGCTCCTCTATTGGTACAGAACCGAGTTAAGAATCTCGGGCGAGCTGACCACCGTGATCTTGAAGGAGGTGGATCATGTATACCGCACGACATGCACACGCGGAGTTGGTTTGGTGGGTTTTTCTGATGGCTCTAGCCACACTGCTCACCATGTTGATGGCCAACACGCCATTGAATGGAAATGACGTTGAGAGAAATCCTGGGCCGGTCGTGGCCAACGCGACTGAAAGCTGGGCTGAAGCCGTGTCGCAATATCGGGCTGGCCAGTATCAGGTGGCTGCAGAGCACTTCGCGAATACTGAAGTCGCCCTGCAAGAGTACGGTCTGCAAAACGCCGGGCAGGACGCGGGACTGACAGCTTGGAATACCCTGGTCATCCACGCTCAAGGTGACTTGGTTACCGCGGTTCAAGCTTGGCAAGCGACTCCTCTTCCGGAGGGAACGGAAGTCTGGCGACAAGTAGCCATGGCTGCGGCATTGCTAGAGCTGGATCGCCAAGATGAGGCTTCGGATGCACTCGATGCCGCTTGGAACGCCGATCCGGAGAACCCTGTAGTTCATTATTACACAGCCCTGTGGAATCTGAACGCTGCTCGAAGGGCACACCAATGGCTCGATGCCTGGAGCCCCGACGCATTCCGGTTCAGCGCGCGTCCAGTGGTCACGCCGAACTCGGAGACCACCTACCAATTGGCTGCCCTCGAGCAGTTCGAGAAGGCCATCGAGTTGGCACCGAATGTCGAGCGTGGACAACCCCTGGTTCCGACAACCTGGACACACGAACCGGTACTGCGACCCACGGTTGACGATTTGCTGCATGCACTAGGTCGATACCCATTCGAAGGTATGAGCCACAGCATCTTAGGAACGATGTACCTCGATCGTGGTCAGATGGAGTTGGCTGAAGAGCACCTTGATCGGGCCGTTGAATACAACGCTCCTGTTGCCTTCAGCTACCAAGAGCTAGCCAAGACCTACGAGGAGATGGACCGTCCGTTCGATGCGGCTCGAGCATACGCAAAATCGATCGCCGACGGATCGGCTGGCTCGGGTCAACTCAGGGCCATGGTTGAAAACCTGCGTGAGGCCTTCGGACAAACCTGGCAACGAAGATGATTCAAGAGTAAGCATGTCTGTGGGATTCGGCCTGTTGTCGGACCACGGTTCCCCTGGGAGGAACCTGTCGGACAACAGGCCGCTCGTGTTTACTGTCGAATCGTTAGAGCCAACTGGCCTCGCGATACCAGCGGGCCGTGCGGTTGAATCGCTCGACCAGCGAAATGGGTGTTCGGAAGTCCAGGTCTCTTTTGGCTGCCTCGCTTGAGCAGGTCCAGTCGCCGGCGCTTCCTTCGCGAACTTTGTCTAAGTTCACTATCGATGGGCGGCCCCGAACGCGAGCGATGAGTTCTTGCACGCTCACGATCACCCAAGAAATCGGCTTCGGCACCGGAATTGAGAACACTCGCTTCTTGCCCAGCGCTGAGCCGATAATGCGACCCAGCTCGACATAGGTTGGTTGGTGATCGTCGGCCGCGAAGTATCTTCCCGAGATTTCCCGTGACTCTGCAGAACTCGGGTCCACACGCTCCCCACGCTCGGCGGCGTTGATCAGCAGTTCCACCAAGTCTTCTACGTGAACGAACGAATACCGATAGTTCGACAGTGTCGGCCTGAGGTGGAGAAGGCACTTGTTAATGGGGCGGTACATCTGAAGAGTTAGTGGATCACCATCGCCGATGACAATCCCTGGCCGAATGATGGTCATCGGGACCCGATCGGCCATAACTGCGGCGGCCCTTTCGCCGGCCAGCTTGCTTCGACCGTACATCGAAACCGGAGCGACCGGATCGGACTCGCAGCGACGATGCTCAGGAGGAGAGGTCCCCGCTGCGGCCTGAGACGAGACCAGTACTAAGGTCGGCGGGGGATCGCACTCGGCGCAGGCAGCCGCAAGATTCCCAGTGCCCTCGGCGTTCACTCGGTGAAAGGCATCGTAGCCGAGTGCCTTAATCACGCCGGCCAAGTGAAATACCGTGTCGACCCCTTCGACGGCCGATTTCAGACTGTCCTGGTCGGTCACGTCGCCGAAAACAAACTCAGGATTGAGCGGTTTCAGGCGCTCAAGGTCGGAACTCGGGCGAACCAGGCATCTTACCTCGTAGCCATTTTGCTGCAGCCGCTCAACCAGGAATGGCCCAATGAACCCGCTAGCCCCAGTTACCAACGCTCGCGGCATCTTTTGTTTCCCTTGCTCCATCTTCTCAGCAGTTCGTGCGACTAGTTGCTCTCTGGACAAGTTCCTCAGGTTACCCGCAAAGCTCAAGATTGTATTGAGGGCGCGAATCTAGAAAGGTTTGCAACAGTTTTCTCAGTCGGGCCTCGCTATAGAATCGGGTGTGGTGGGTACGGAAGTGTGCGCTGCAGGCACAGCAGGTGAGGTGGTGTGGGGCAAGCTTTAACGGTCGGGTGACCAGCCAGTCGCAGATTGCAGCAGGGCAACCGGTAACGTCCGACGCCCTTACGCCGTGAGCGAGTTCAACACAACCGGAACGATCCAAAAGCCGTCGGTGAGCATGGTCCGAAGGGTGCTATCAGCCGATAAGCTAGTTCTGACGTAAGACATGGCGAGTGTCCGGGGTCGAACCCGGTACTCCGAAGCAGTGTTTGGCGTTGGGCCTAGTAGATAGAGGCCGTCTTTCCCGGCGTTCTCCCCAAAAGGGTGGATTGTCGGCGGGGCGGAGAATCCTTGTAATCGACTTGCCCCTGAGATAAACTAACGACCCAGTATTCGTAGCCCGCCTAAAATAGACGCCGCAAACCTCCAGCGGACCAACACAAAACGGACGACCAAGACGGGCGTCGAGGGCCTGCTGCCCCAACAGAACCATGAAAGGTGATCCTGTGGCAACCAGCGATCTTCGTGTTTCGGGCATTGCCCCCATGAATGGCAACGGCGTGGCAAATCACTCTGACGAGATGATCGAGTTCCCCCCCGAGTTTGCAACTTGGGCCCAAGAGCTCGGGATCGAAGTCGGTGACAATGTGGCGCTTGTGGATATTTTCAAGGCCCGCGAGAAAGGCCTGAATTTCCGCCAAGCCTCCACCCTGTTCTCCACTGGGTTGGCCGTTTACGAAGAACGGGGTCACAACCTCTATCGCCGCCAGCTGCAGGGCCCCAGCGACGCAATGGCCAAAGTCGATTACCCCCGCGAGGATGGAACGCGGGAGATGGTGATCCTGGCATCGAATAACTATCTCGGGCTCACGACCCATCCGAAAGTGATTCAAGCCGCGTGCGATGCCGCCCAGACCTACGGCACGGGGGCCGGATCTTCGCCGTTGCTGGTCGGAACCTTCCCGGTCACGGCCGAACTCGAGCGGAAACTGGCCCACTTCAAAGGCGTCGACGAAGCCTGCGTGTTCTCCTCGGGCTACGGAGCCAACGTGGGCGTGATGTCGTCCGTCTGTGGTAAGAACGACCTAGTGGTCGTCGACCGCCTGGCCCATGCTAGCATTCTCGACGGTGCCAAACTGTCTGGCGCCAACGTGCGTGTGTTCCGTCACAACGACGCCAAGCATCTCGATCGGGTGCTTTCGCGAAGAACCAACACCTCGGGCACCACGCTGGTTGCCGTCGAAGGCATTTACAGCATGGACGGCGATATGGCGCCGCTCGACGAGCTGATCGAGGTGACCAAGAAGCATGGAGCCATGCTGCTTGTGGACGAAGCCCATTCGACCGGCGTCGTCGGTCCCGATGGCAGTGGTGCGGTTGCCCATTACGGCCTCACGAAAGACGTCGATCTTATCGTGGGTACGCTCAGCAAGTCGCTTGCTGCAAGTGGTGGTTTCGTCTGCGGCGACAGTTCCGCGATCACTTACATCCGCTACTTCGCCCGTTCGGCCATGTTCTCAACATGCATTCCGCCCATGACCGCGGCGGCTGCGGGTGCGGCCTTGGATGTGATTCACAACGAGCCCCAACTTCGCGAGCGGCTGTGGGAAAACTGCCGCTACATGTACGGTGAGTTGAAGCGAATGGGCTTCACCGTGGGTGACGGACCCAGCCCAATCATTCCTGTGATTGTCGGCACGATGGGGGCACTGCGGAAGATGACCCTTGCCCTGCATTGCGACAACATCTGCGTCAACTCGGTGCCTTTCCCGGCCGTGGCTCATGGCAGCGAACGCCTGCGAATCAGCCTCACGGCCAACCACACGCTCGATCAACTCGAACGTGCGTTGCAGTGCATCGAAGCCGCGGGTAAAGATGCCGGCGTGATCTAACATCCCGCTCAGGCAATTTGCGGCATATTTTCGATCGCAGGAAGTCTGAGTGCTCCACGCACTCGTCTCAACGTGCTATAACCGTCCCCGTCGGTTATCTCGCGGGCGTTTCCTATTTCCTTGATCGTCCGCCACGCATCATCCATCAAGATTGTCGTGATCGATGCCGACTTCGTTGACAGGGGCACTGCCACCTGGGGCGTGTCGCATTTGCCTAGTAGTTGTTTGCACCACGAGAGAATCGCCAAGGTCCTGCGAAGATGTCAGAAATCGTTGTGACCCCCGTTCGCTCGCGGAAAGACCGTTGGGCTTTCATCGAGTTGCCCTGGTCGCTCTACCGAAACGACCCGAATTGGGTTCCGCCAATTCGCCAAAACATCCGCGAGTTGGTGGGCTTCAAGCACCACCCATTTCATGAAGTAGCCGAGGTTGAGACTTTCCTCGCCCGGCGAGGTAAACGCGTGGTGGGCCGCATCGCCGCCATTCTTAATCACGCCCATAACAAGCAGCACAACGAGAACATCGGATTCTTTGGTTTCTTCGAGTCGATCGAAGATCAGCAAGTCGCCGATGCATTGTTTGCCGCAGTACGCGGCTGGCTAGCCGAGCGTGGCGTGACCAAAGTTCGTGGGCCGGCTAATCCATCGGTGAATTATGAGATTGGCTTGTTGGTCGAAGGATTCGACAGCCCGCCGACATTCATGATGACGTACAACCCGCCGTTCTACGAACGGTTGGTGGTTGATGCCGGTTTCGAGAAATCGCAAGATCTGCTGGCGTTCTTCGGTATCTTGGACCAGTTGCCCGAGGTTCAGGCGAAGTACTCCGAGCTGGCTGAAATGGCCCTGGAGCGTACCGGGGCGACCATCCGCAGTATCGACCGCCGACACTTCTTAAAAGAAGTACAGCGGTTCCTCAAACTCTACAACGAATCGTTTGTACAGATGTGGGGCTTCGTCCCCATGAGCGAAGGTGAGGTAAAGCATACAGCCGAAGCACTTCAATACCTGCTCCTTCCAGAGCTGTCCCTCATCGCCGAAGTCGATGGCACCGATGTCGGCTGTATCTTCGCGTTGCCCGACTTCAATCCAACAGTGAAGAAGATCGATGGTCGCCTGTTCCCTACGGGGTTCTTGAGACTCATTCGGGCCAAACGTCGTGTAAAGCGTGTTCGAGTGCTTAGCATCAATGTCGTGCCGGAGTATCAACGCTGGGGGCTCGGGCTCTCGTTGATGAACGCCCTGGTGCCGGAAAGCCTGAAGATTGGCATTGAAGAGGCCGAATTCTCCTGGGTCGCCGAATCGAACACCCTGGCCTGCCAAGGCCTGAAAAAAGGCGGAGCCACGCTCGCTAAGACCTATCGTATGTTCGATAGTGTTTAATCGCGCGAGCGGTTTTTTTGATTTTCGTCCAGCATTCACGATCTCGCTGAGAAGCGGCCAGTCTGCACAATCGATATCACCCTCAACACCGTGTCGCTCGGTGGGTTGTCCAACTCGTGGTCAACGCACAAACGCCGAATCTCGTCGTCCCGCGACAAGGTAGGCTTGTTGTAAGCGAATAGCTCCTTCATCAATCGAGGTCCGTTCGGGCCAGATGGAGTTGCCCACTTCAATTTCTCTCTTCTCGCAACAGCATTCTCTTCGAGGTCTCTCGTGATACGACCGAGTGGCACTACCGTAGCTGCGCTGAATCAAGTGAACGCGGCACTTAAGGAACTCGGTGCAACATCACTGCGTTTAGCGACACTAAGTCGCGTCAACTCTGGCTACGATGATCCCGCGGCACTCATTGCAGCAGAATCGCTTCGCGACGAGTTGGCTGCGCTGGAAGCCGCCAGTCGAAATACTTCGCGAGCCAGCTCGGTGATTCGTCTTGCCGACAGCGGGCTCTCTGAAGTGGGCGATTTGCTGCGGGATATCCGAGCCAACGTAGTCTCGGCCGGCAACTCCACGCTTAGCCCTGCGGAAAGGGAAGCACTCCAGATCGATACCAACGCTGCCCTTGAGGCCATCAACCGCATTGGCAGTTACACCAGCTATGGTGGTACGAAGCTACTCGATGGCAGCAACCCCGAACTCTCTTTCGCACTCTCAGGCGATCCTTCGAATTTGGCCACGTTCGAACTTCCACAAGTCAGCACCGAAGTGCTCGGCGGAACCGCAGGCGTTCTCAGCAGCCTTGCCGCCGGTGGTGCCGCAAACCTGGTCGATGGGGACTTGAGCCAAGCCGTGGAGATCCTCGATGCCGCCAGCGACGAAGTGCTGGAAGCCCGAGCAGAGCTTGGGGCATTCGAGAAGTACACGATTGAAAGTACTTCCCGCGTGATCGACACGACGTTTGATAACCTCAGCAGTGCGTTGAGTCGAATCGTCGATGTTGATGTAGCGGCGGAATCCTCCCGCCTCATTCGAGCCCAAATCCTCGGTGAAGTCTCCATCGCCGCCTTAAGAACGGCGAACACCCGAGAGAACCTCATTCAAAGTTTGTTCAATCGAACATCGTTGTATTACAGGCCGCCAGGGGCCCAGGCGCAGGCTTCGTACTATTCCTACTCGCGTTACAATTCTTTCTAACCGAGTGCACTAGTTGGAGTACGAGGCCGCGAACGACTTGCTCTCTGCACGCTTCGGTCCAAGAGCAGCAGCGATCCAGCCGTCGGTGACGGTGAGTTGGGTCACTTCGAGGTCTTCAAACCGGGGGTCGTTCTGGATCTTTTCCGGCACGAGTTGCAGACCCTCGTCGGCGAAGATCTTGCTGAACACGCCTCGCAGGGCGATTTGCGAACCGAGGTTGAGCCGACGACCTGCCAGTTGAATGGTTCCCTCGCGAACGAGTCTTCCTTGCGAAAAATCTTCGGCGGGGTGGTAGTTCACATGCACGGTGAACTTGCTCCAGCGACGAGGCCGCTTGGATAGCTCATCGATGGCGAGTGTGATTCGGACGGCGTCGTCTTCGCAGCCGATGTGCACAGCATCTTGCTGAGCAAAGCGAATTTGCACGTCCTCGGGCATCGACTCCGGTGCTGGTCGTGGCTCCCGCCCCAGTTTCTCCAGCACGTGGGCATGCAGTTCGGCCAGTGACATGTCGCGGCCATTTAGGTCGAGCCGCTCAATCAGATTATTCACCGCAGACTGATGAAGCTGAACGCTGGCCAAGCTATCCGATGGTGCACGCGGTCGCGGCGTATGCGAACCGAGTTGGTTCTCGCCTGCAATTCGGGCACGAACCGTGATCCGCTCATCGGTGGTCTTCATCTCGATCAGCTCCGGATCGAGGCCCATCGCGGTGAGCGGCTTCACCAGCTCGTTCTTGAATCGCTCTTCGACCGTCGAGAACCGTTCGCTGGCTTCTTTTCCTGCCTGTTCAAGTGCCTTGCGGCGAATCTTTCGTTCCGATTCGCGACGTGCATCAGGGGCACGCTTTGCCTGGCCGCGACGAACGACGGACTCGGCCACCGGACCAATCAGTGGCACACCACTAAACGGGGTTTCAACTCCACGCAGTTGCACTTGACTCTCGACATCGGCCGTGGCTTCGCCCAACTGCATGCCCTCGCGACTGATGACCATCGGTTGTTTCACCGCGTAGTGCGAGTTGCTGTGGTTGAACACGGTGGCCCAATCGTTCCCCGCTTGCGTTTGAGCGGAGATGAGACCGGAGATGTCCAACAGAAGGCGAAGCTGCTGATCGTCGGGTACCAGTTCAACATCGAAATCAGTCCGTACCGTGCTGTTTCCTCGCACCGGCACACCCACGATCGTGTCTCGCACCGGTTGCCACTGCAGTTGCTGCTCAGGAAGGATACGCTCGAGCAATTCCTCTGTGATCGCGATGCGGACGTTCGCATTGCGATAGTAACGCGTGGTGGCCAGTGCCAGTTCTTTTTGCTCTTCGTCTTGCGACCATTGCAGACGATTGCAGAGCCTGGCCAGGGTGGCGGCGTCACTGGGCAGGCCGGTGGTCTCGTACTGCTCCAGCGTTCGCAAGAAATCAGCAGCGGCCACAGGGCGTGCGGCCCAGGCGTGCAAACTTCCGCTTAGTGACGCGATCGGCCCCGCGGTCATGACCTGCCGCTGTTCGCCCGTCAGGTGATGGGCATCCAACCGAGCGAGCACCTGATCGGCCAATTGGCGACTGCGGTCGGTGATGTGCCCCTGACGCGATTGGGCCAGGACTCCCAGCGAGTCGAGCATCAGGTACTCGCGCCAGCCTGAAGGCTCGTCGGCCCCCTCGACCAGAGCGTCGACTCTCGCTAACACGGCGGCCAGGGGTTGGGCATCGACCGTTTCGACAGCCAAGGCCGCTCCCGGTCTCGACTCAAGCTGCACGGCGAGGTCCCACACCGCCACTCGACGTGCCACCGCATGACGCAAACGCCTTAGCTCGCTTGCCAGTTGGTAGTCGTCGGTTGCCGCGGCCAGCTTTTCGGCCCGATGCAACTCGCCGCGAAGCTCGGTGAGGATGGCATCGGCCTCTGCGGGGGTGGAGATTCGCCCGCTGGTCAATTCGCGAACCAGCACGCCCACACGTACGGCCCAGTCGCTGCAAGAGCATTCCCAGGCCAGGTGATCCAACGCATCGAGCAAGGCAGTCGGCTCACGCCAAATCGATAGCGTTGGATCCTCCGCTTCGACTCGTCCCTCGGCCTTCGACGAGTCCCAGCGGGAAGTGAACTCCGAATGGTCCTCAAGCGGCATCCGTTCGCGAATCTCGGGTCGCGATGCGACACGCGGCGAGGTGGCAGCCGGCGTAGCAGCGATGGATGTGAGGACATCATCGGAGGTAATCGTTGTCAGCCACGCGAGAATGATGCCCAACGGGTCGACGAATTGTTTATTTGTGGGTTGGGCGGAAGACAGCGTCGGACCGACCAATTCCAACTCGGCCTCACACATCAACGGTTCCTCGCCCAAGTTAGGCCAGTGGAGAGACTCGAACGAGGCGTCGGATGACTCGGCAGATACTCCATCTGAAGCTGCGACCGACAAGGTGAGTTCAGGTCCCGCCGCAGCTTCCTGGGGAGGAGCAAGGGTTGGGGTGCCCACGCGTCGCCGAGCTGCAGCCAGTTCTTCGGCCGAGACAGGCTCATTCGACACGGTCTCACCGTCAGATTTCGTCGTCCCGATATCACCCAGCGGAGCCTTTCTAGCGACGCTTTCCCAGCTTCTTGGTGCGCTGAGACTCAGTATGAATAGCGCGGCCAAAATGCTTAGAAAAGGCCACGTGGGCGTAGGCTGAGAGCGGGTCATCCGGTTTACCCTTACTACCAGTTAGTGGTGCAGTGCGGCAGCTGCTGTCGTCCGTGCTGTGCTTATGAAACTACAGCCGCAAGAAATGCTCGGTTACAAGCATCGGTAGCATGGGGTGTTTGAGTGAAATGAGAATTATGAGATAGATGCGTCGATATTGACGGCTCTTCGCCCTAAGCGCAATCTCGCAAATGACTAAGAACAACCGGGGAATCTGCCTGGTGGCTCAAAGAAGTCGGAATGCCGCCCAGAGTTTGGCCTGCCGAGTTCAGGATATGACGGCCCTTCCACCCAAAAGCCGGGCGTCATTTGTCTTCCAGCAAGACCGTGTCTGTGTGCTCATAACCGGGAGCACAGCAACAGAGGAAGATGAGCGTGTGATCTCCCGTGTTGGTGATTTGGTGAGTGATGCCGGGCGGGATGGCGATGGCATCTCCCACCACCACATCGCGAAGTTCGTCGGCCAACTGCATCCGTCCGTTGCCGGAGAGTATGTAATAAATCTCTTCCGTCTCAGGATGGTAGTGTGGCGTGGTTTGCTGCCCCGGCTTCAATCGGGCTTCGGCCAGGCTCTGTTTGCAGATGGACGAGTTGCGATGGGCCAGCAACTCACGGATCTCTGAACCGTCTGCCGTGGTGAACGCCTCGACTTCGTTGATGTTTTTCACGTCCATGATGGGAGGGTCCTATCTGTAACGGATAGAAGTTGAATTCTGGTTGCGCCGCAAGTTGATCACCTGGCCGAGTGCTAGCCAGTATCTTCATCTTCTGCCTCTAGGAAGCTGCAAAATCCCCAGCACGGCCGGGGGAAATCGGCGTAATGACCACGAATCTGGATCGCCGAGCTGTTCCCAGTCAAAACAATCGTCGGATTCGACCACCAGGAGACTATCCGGCGGGGCCGCTTCGACCATTCCTGCAATTAGACTTAGCATTTCCTCGCGACGATCGATGAAGAAGTCGTAGGGAGGTGAACAAAACACGGCCCAAGGCGTAGAACGGGGTAGCTCGTCGAGTTGCCGCGCCCAGATGAAGGTGTCGGCCGTGAGTATCTGTGTTTGATCTCCTACGCCCAGAGTGCGGATATTTTCCTTGATCACCCGTGCGGTGGGGTAGTGTTGCTCGATGAAGTGCGCTCCGACCGCCCCGCGGCTGAGGGCTTCGAAGCCTATGGCTCCGGTACCGGCGAACAAGTCGATGACGTACTTGTCACGGACCCGTGGCCCGAGCAGATTGAACACCACCTCGCGGACGCGGTCCTTCATCGGCCGGGTCCGGATATCGCCGCTGTAGGCAAATCGCCGGCCTCGCATGCTTCCGCCGATGATTCGCAGTTCACCCGGCTTTTCGACGGGGCGGCGGCTTCGAGAGAGACGGACGTTACCCTGCTTGGATCGACGCGACACGGTGGCTACTCAAAGAGCTAAAGTTCATGTAGTCCGCCCCGGGACCCCGCCGATCGGGGCCCCAGCGGTGGTTACCATTGATAAGCGATTATGGTAGCCTACCGGAACCGTATATGCTGCGCCCCAAAGGTTTTGCAGCGGCACAAGTAACTGTTTTCTAGCCACTTCGACAACTGTTTCCATTGAGGAAGATATTCGATGTCCTTTCGCCCTCGACTTTTGCTAGGACTGCTCGCCGTTTCACTTTTCGTCGCCTTGCCTTCGGCGATGGCCCTGCAGGACGAAACTCCCCCGCCCGCTGAGTCTCAGGAAAGCGGCGAAGAAGCGCCTGCCTCTGAGGAGCCCAGTGCCGAAGAGCCTGCATCCGAGGAACCTAGTTCTGAGGAACCCAAAGCCGAGGAGACAACGCCGGAGGAGCCAAAAGCAGAGGAAGAGAAACCCAAGGAAGACGCACCCGTCGACGTGGATGCCGGCGACTTCGATGCCCTCTTCGAGCAGTGGAAGGGACTGATCACCGAGTTGCGTGCGTTGCAGGACGAGTACAAGATTGCAAAGCCAGCAGATCGCCCAGCACTGGTCGAGAAGTTCAACGCACTCGTGGTTCAAGGAGACGAGCTTGCCCCCAAACTGCGAGCCGCTGCCGAGGCTGCCTTTAAGGCCGATCCGAATGCCAACCCCGAAGTCGGGAACTTCCTCGCTTCTACCGTGGTTGGCGAGTTGGCCGAAGGTAACAACGAGGCCGCCCTGCGTGTGGCAACGCTCTTAATTGACAACGGCTTTGCCAACAAAGCCA